TGCGTGACTAAGTGTGCCAAACAGAGGGATGGTTAGTTTACTCCCTGTATAGGAGAAACTACGACTCTCCCTTAAACAAATCCCAGACCCAGCTATTAACTGTGAATGTGGTATTACACTGGTTTCTCTTAAAGGACAGGGAACTGGAACAGTTTCGGGAACATTAATTGTAATTCTTTTTATAAACCAAAGTTTAAGGTTGCTCTTATATTAATAATCTTTTGTAAACCTTGTAAAGTCAAATGTTCTTTCAATTGAATAATAGATAGATTTTGTTTAAATAATAAATAATCTACTCTTTTTCAAGATATTAAAGGATATTTATCAAAAAATATCGTTAATTCTATTAGCTCACTTCATTTTTTGACTCTAAAGGCACAAGAAGATTGGTTACTACTTACAGTACCTATTCCACCTAAACTATGTTGGATTCTTAATAAAATCGGAGAATCTCTAATATGTAGTTTAATTTGAAAAACTGGTTGAACCTCTCAACCAAATTTATAAGAAGAACTTTTTAAAACACTGCAAGAAAAAGAACCTTCACCTGATTTTTTTTTTCTTTTGCAATGTTTGGTGATTGACTTAAGCAAAAGAAAAAAAAAATAAAGCTAAACCCTGTAATAAACCAAGGATGAACTTGTAGATCGTCAATTTTATGTTTATTATTACTTAATGTAGCATAATAACGACGAGTATTAACATTTAAAGAATCAAAACCAATTAATGGTGAATCGTAGAAAATTTTTCTATACAAAATTTAATCATAGCTTATTACTAAGCTCTTTAGAATACATCTTAAATATATTACAAAGATCCACCCCCCCCCCGCAAGCTTGCGGTGGGAGGGGTGGATTCTCCTAGCTGTGGATCTTGTAAATATCTATAGACGTTTACTCGTTGCTCTTTTACAATTGCAGAATAATATCTTACAACTTATTTAGATCCGCGATTGCCCATTCCTATTACTAGTCCCTAGTTAACTTATTTATGTAGCTAATCTTTGCAGAATTAAGCATACGAAGTAAGCATAAGTAGGCTACCCTCTATAGCCTACGTATCCTAGGAAACCTAAAAAGTAACTAGTATCATCTGGCTTATTACCTTACCTGAGTAATTACTTCAGCCACCTATAACCTTTCGATTATGGTTTGGTACCATAAGCTTTAGGGGTTCCCCGGAATTTGTCTATATTACCCTATAGTCCTAAGGTATAACAGCATAGCCTAACAATGAAAAAATTAAAGTTATTATAGGACCAAGGAAAAATAATACGATATTGGCCTGTGTAGGAGAAACATACTCTTTTAATAAAAGTTTAAGAGCATCAGCAAATGCTTGAAGTAGACCGTATCACGAATGTTCTCATTTAACCATTTATTATACATAATACAGGTAAAGAATTGAGGATTTCTCCCTAAATATTCTCGGGCGTCGTTAGACGACTGAGACCTACCCCTCATAATTTTTTTTATCTATAATAAAAGAGGGGTTGGTGTTACTATCCATTTCCAGGTATAAATGTATTTATACCCTGTACTTTCTCAAGCAGGGCCTGACTATATCTTAAGCAAAAAAAAATTTTTTTTTTTTTATGCCAACCACCGTTTAGTCGATGAACTGCATACCTAATATAATAGGTACTTGGCTGCGGGTTGCCTATTTCTTTTCATACATCTATTTCGATTTTACTATACCCCGAGTCATTACCTGGGCCATGTATTTAGTTACCTAATACATTTAGTTGAAATAGCTTTAAGGTGTTCCCGTCAATTTGATGGTTTATAGCAAAAGGTTCTCTTTCACTGATGGGCCTAATAAAGTTTCTTACACTTTACTTTTTATCTTACAATTTAATACTGTAAAAATACAAACCTTTATAGTCTTTATGAGTATTCAAAATTTTACGGCAAAGCAGCCCCAGTCTTCATCTTCTTTGAAGATGAAGACGCCGGGGCTAATTGTTTTATGACTTAATTTTAATTCTTTAGCTGCTAAATGTTTTGAACTATAACCAGTTTAATTGGAACTAATTAGAATGAATTTATCATCGGCTACGCAGCCTCAGTCTTCGAGACGTTGTCTCGAAGACGCCGAGGCTAACTTTTTATAAACTCAAGTTTCAGTAGTCTCATTTTTTGCGGCAAAGCAGCCCCAGTCTTCATCTTCTAAAGAAGATGAAGACTGGGGCTGTAATTTTTTTTTTTTACATATATCATGATAGATGTAAAAAAAAATAACCCTTAAAAATAATATATTTTTGTAGGGTACATAAGTATTTAAATAAACACTAATTGTTTCTCTAGCTATACCATATTATTTTGATGACGCACTTATGCTACTAAATATTAGATTATTAGTACTAATTTGATTATTACATTATTAATATACATAAAGATATAAATCTTTAATATATGAATCATATTTGGACTGTTTAAGTCTTAATATATCATATAAAGAGTCATAAGATTGTATTTCACTAAAATTACTTTTAAAGATAGTATTTAATAAAGGTAAGTATTTTTGCAAGTAAAAATCTTCTCTATCTTGTTGGATGCTAAGATCACATATCTCTATAATAGAAAATTCAAATTGACCTCAACCAATTGAATAAGCAATTTTATGAAATATATCTTTAAGTTAGAACTCAAAGGATCTTTAAATCTTTTGTGTAAGTCTTTAGTTCTCCCTATATAATAAACTTTAGGGTATTTTTTTTTTTTTTGTATCTAAACATAAATCCTGTCGCCCGTCCTGTAATATGACCCATTTCACCTGTCTTATAAATAACCGCTAAGTAAAAATAGTCTAGCTTTCTAATTCTTGGATCGTTACTAAGCGATCCTCCTTTACTCACAAAACCGGCTCACCGTCCTCTAATCTTTTTAAAACTATGTAACGAGACACTTCTAGAAAATCCATAACAGCTGTAATTGAATTACATGTAGTGACAACATTACCGTTAAGATCAGCAATTTCATAAAATACACCTTTTCTAACAGTTAGTCATTTATTCTCAGATATAAAGTTTTCCTTTTCTCTTTTTTATAATTAGAGGGGGCTTGTAAAATTATTTTGGCTTGCGTAATTAATAACTCCCTGTCTTATCTAGACAAGCCACCTGAGGTTGAAAGTCTATTGTTATTCATTTGTCCTATAAAGGAATCTATTAAAATTTTTCCCTCATGGGTATAGTGATGACCTTGTTGTTTCAACTTATATACTAAGGTGAAATCTTCAAAATCCCAGAATTTTTTACTACATCATGTCATAGAGCTAAAAAAAGGTATAATTACAAGTTTTATTAAATCAGTGTGATCAACTATTAGATAAGTAACAGGGTTTTTATAGCCGTTCCCACCGGCAGGTGAAGATGGTAAAACGACTGGGACGGAAGACTCGCTTATTCTTATACTAATTTTCCGCATTGTTTGTTTATATATAAAAGGTAAATCATATAGAAAATCCCCTATTTTATTTATCAATTCATAGTCCCTAGAATGTTGAACAATAGAAAAATACGATTGATAATTCTTTCTTCGAATGAAAAATGAACCGTCACCTGCTTTTTTTTTCTTTTGCAATGTTTGGTGATTGATTTAAGCAAAAGAAAAATAATACAAATCCACGTAATCACTCTATAAACTCTTGGTTAAAAGTATTAAAGTGTCTAACATTTCTTAATTTGACTAATGAAGGAAAACGATTAAAGGGAAGATAATTTAAACCATAAAAAGATGTACTAAGAGTGATTGGAGATAATAAATCTTTACATTCACTTACAACTTTATCTTTTAAAGGTTTAAAGAAAGATATTATAACAGATGGATTAAGTAAATGAGTAGAAGTAAAAAGCACATCATCCCAAAATTGAATAACGGGGCTTTTCTATTACAGGATAATTCACTCAAAGCATCACAAGAAGAATGAAAAGTTCTTTTATATGTAAGATTAAAATTAGTATAACCCACTGCATTAGGTCCTAATCTTCTTTGCATGCTAGCCATTGTTTTTCTCTCAGCTACAGTTACAAAAGCTACTGTTAATAAAACAGGTATAGTAACAGCCAAAACCTCAAGAACAGACATAATCGTAGGGAAATATAACATTTTTAAATTTAAAAGAATGATCTTAAAATTACATATTGTTCGAAAGTATTTTTTAATGGATCATGTTAATTATCTACATTTAAGTGAATAGATTATATATTTTAAAATGCAAGGGTCCATTTCAAATGGTTGTTATTAAAAGGGCTTTACAAAGTGTCTTCTCCCTAATGGCTGTTGAAATATATATCTCTAAAGGCCATTTTCCAGTATATACTTATTATTCTACTGGGATTTGTAATACTGTTTTTTTTTCTTAAAAAACTCTTAGGAATAAAAATGGTTAATATAAATAACTGATCTTACCCCTTTTCATCACAAGTTAACGATAATCTAACCGCTATTTTATATGTATTATTCTGCACATGAATTACCATATATGATAGGTAGTTCTAAAATAAACCTATTAATATTTCTATTAATTATAAACCCAATCAATTTTTCCTAATGATGTTAGGATTGCAGATTGAACAGGTGCGAGAGTGGTACCTGTTCTTGCTACTTCTCTTAAAATGGGTGACGCAGTAGAATGAAAATCTCTAAAAGATTTATCATGTTCAAGCAGGTCTCTGTAACAACTTGTACTTGCATCACGTATCTCTTCAAACTCCCTTAACTGCTGTAGAGTAAGTACATTTTTTAGTTGATCTGTACACCATGTTGTATCAATAATACATTTTAAAAGTGACTGTTGTAGTGCAAATTGATAATGACGCACAAAATGTCTAGTACCCTCCGCATAAGGTTCAAAAGGCGGACCTACAGCTTTTCAAATGGATTTATAATTTTCTATGTTCATACCACCTTGTACTACACTATCTTCACAAAGGGTCTTTAGTCTTAAATAATCCTTTAATACAAGTAAGGTTTCGTCAAAAAGAAAACCCGCTCTATCTAGAAACGGATCTCCTGTCGGCATATCAGAAAACATCATACCTCCACCGGCTAAAATTTTAATCAAAGTTACATAACTAATAACCGGTCCAAGAGATTTACGTCCATATATGGCTAAACCTCCAGTAAAGACTAGTAAAAGTATAAAATTAGTAGCCTTAGGAAATGAAATACATAAAAGATAAGCTATTAACCCTATCAAGGTGTATAATGCATAAGATGTTATAACTCCTGTACTCAATCTAGCAATATTTTTACTTATATTCAATATACCTTTCTTTAGTCCATATGGTCCCATATACTCTACGGATCCTTTATCTATAACTTTAGTAGTTTGTCCACCAAGGTTTAGTATAGTACCAGTAATGTACTTGTTATAAAATAACTCTATTAAGAAACGTTGGTTAAAGAAACTAAATACGTTATAACCTACTCTAGATAATTTGAAATATATTAATATTGTAGATAAGTATTCAGACAACACTATGGCTATTACACTTAATGAAATAGTAAATAATAAAGGTAATAGTTTAAATAGAGTTGGCACTCCAAATTCAGTATCTAACATTATCTCATGAGAAGGATGTATAAATAAAGCATTATCTGAAAAGAATCCTGAACCCAATCCTATAAACATATCCTTTGTTATAAATCCAAAGAATATTGAGAATACAGCTAAAATCATTAACATGGCGATCAGATTTATTATACAAATATATATAGGTAATAAAGTAGCTCAGTTTATTTTAGTTAATTCTGTTAGTATTCATACCATTTTCTATAGATTCAATTTTAGCCAAACCTTTCTCAGTTAAATGCTCTTTTTCTTTTATCAATAATCCGATTTTAGAAAAATCAGAAAAATCTTGTGATTTAACACCTAAGATAGGATACTTTAAGAAAAAGGGTATAATTTTTAGTTCTATATCAGAAAACTTCGTAACTGAATAGTTACCTTCGTTTCTGGTAGAGCTAGGGTAGTATTTACCACAATCTAATAACTCACAAAACGACCGTAACAAATCAGCATCTCTAGAATGTTGAGTTACAGAAAAGATTAATATAACTTGCTTTCCAACTTTTGTCTTAGATTTTATAAGATTAACAAAGAAATTACCTTCAGCGCTAACAAACCCTGAAAATCAATTCGGATTTATTTTTTTTTTATTAGGGTTTAAAGGTCTAGCTATTATATTTAATCTAGTCCCCTGTGGTGCCTTACCATCCTGTGGGACGAGCCCGTGAGAACTAGGGAAAGCTATTTTTAATTCTTCTGATAAACCTAAATTCATTGTAGCTTTTATGCTAACAATGTCTATCAAACCTTCTAAGGTTAAATGTCTTTTACATTTGACTAATTCAAAAGCAGCTTTAAATCATTGAAAATCCGACCACTTATGTGTAATTAAAGGAAAATTATTAAAATGGTCTACAATCAATTGTAAATCTTTTATAGATGAAACTCTAAATTGAACCGCATCTTTACTATGTGAGGAAATACTTCCTATACCAATAAAGAATGCTTGAATTAATTCTAATAAATACCGACCTTTTTTATGTAATTTTATACCAAATTGCAAGTTTACAATTCAACCCGTATTCATCTTAGAAGATCTGTTAAGACTAATTGAAAAATAGCTCTCTCCATCTGAGAAACCTGTAACAAAATAAGGGTGTAAAGTAGGCTTTTTGATTGAAATAGAAGAAATACCTCTTGTTAAACTTCTACTAAAACCTGTATATATATTAAGTAAAAAGGGATTCTGACTTGATAATATCTTTCGATACCCATTAGATTATACCTTAAACATACAAGAATTTCTCTTGTGTCAACTACCATCTAATCGTTGCTCTTTTACAGACATGTGTATATCTGGCTTAGATCCGCGATTGTCCATTTCATTTTCAATCATCTTCTGACTTGTTACCGTACATGAGGGATTAGTTCATCCACTAATAATTTTTCAACTATTGCTTGGTACCAGAAGCTTTAGGAGGTCCCCGGAATTTGATCGTTTTACCCACGCAAGTGATTTCCCACATCACCCAGCAGGTAAGCTCATAAATATATCACCTTCATGTGCTTGTTTATAATTAATTAAAGGCCCATTAGGGTTAGTTAAGAAAGTTAGATACAACACTTTTACAGAGTACAGTGTAGTAAACATTGCTCCTATAGTAGCTATGATATAAACTACAGTACCAGAAAAATAATATTGACCATATGCGGATTCAAGTATAAAATCTTTTGAGTAGAATCCAGTCATAAAAGGAAAGGCTACTAAGCTTAAAGAAGCTATAAGCATAACAGAATAAGTAAGGGGTAAGAATGGTCTTAACCCACCATATCTTCTGAAGTCTTGATTATCAGCTACAGCGTGAATAACTGCTCCAGCTCCTAAGAATAAAAGTGCTTTATAAAAAGCGTGATTAACCAAATGAAATAAAGCTATAGGATAACAAGATAAACCAACAGCTATAACCATCATACCTAATTGCGAAATTACTATCATAAATAATATGACGTAGCTTGGACCATTTCTTTATTAATCTTGATATTTTTCTCATTTATCCTTAAATTTAACTCATTCATTAAATTTTACAACATCGTCATTTTTTTTACTTAGTCTAACTAAATAAAATTGTTTTATTAAATTAACTCTTTTCATTTTTTCTGTTCTTAAAGGGTATTTACTAAAATAATTATCTATCAAGTTAAATAATTCTGCCTTTCTATAGACAACATACTTAAATGCTTCTATTTTAGGACTAGAAATATCCACTCTTCCTCCATAGATATGAATTAAAGGTTCCAATAAGTATTTATTTTTCTGAGATATACCAATAAAAGCTTGACCTGATGATTCACTATAATAGATTGAACCATCACTATCGATAAAGCCCGCTAGTCACCCATCATTAAAAGTAAGATTATTTGCATATTTTAATTCTATATTAAATTTTACACAAAGCTTATTCATTTGTAATAAACGCGTAGGGTTTCGAATGAATCCGTTTACATCATTTATTAGTTCAATTAAACCCGCTCTATTTCTTAATTTATATTTGAATGCGTATGCATTTGAAATTTGTTTTACAGATCCTCCATATTTATGTTGGATTAAATATAGAACTTTTTTATCTCTTGTGTCCATAGTTATTTCACAACTATTGTAGCCATTTTTAGCCTCGGCGTCTTCTTTGCTTTGCAAAGAAGACTGAGGCTGCGGAGCCGATAATAAAAAGTAACCATCTCCATCTATTATTCCAGCTAATCACTGTCTAAATGCAAGATCTACTGATTCTGTATTTTTACTGTTTAAACTTTTAGTATTTATACTTGTAGACATATTCCTACTAAAAATTAAACTATTCCTGTTACTTTTTTTTAGGTGAGATGAAAAAACGGTTTTAGTTTTAAAATTCTGTTGTTTAAGAATAAAAGGTTTTGCTATTAAATTAATCAATTCTAACTTAATAAAGACTAATATCAAACGTATGGCCTCTGAGATTCCTACTAACTTACTAATAACCTCAAATTCTCATCTTATTAGCCCGCATATAATGTACAGGTGTAACCTTATAATGGTAGATGAATTAAGAAACTTGAGGTTACAGTGATTATTGTATAAATAATCACGAGCTTTGGTTATCTGCGAATTGGCTATAGTATTTTTACGTATAGCTTCTATGCTACTTCTCTCTTATTATAAGTGTAATTAATTACTTATAATTAATTTTTTCTATTAAATATAATTTTTCTACTGATTCCTTTTTTACCTCATAGAATTTTTTAATTAGACTAACTTTATTCCTTTTATTAGACATTAAAGGATATCTTATTAAATAATTATCTATAATATTTAAAATTTCTTGTTTTCTGTAAATAGAATACTGAAAAGCTTGTCTAGAATCAGTAATTTTTATTCTACCTGAATATAATTTTATTAAAGGATCTAATAAATACTTGTTTTTCTGAGTTACACTTAAAATTAATTGATCTGATTTTTCATCATAATATATTGAACCATCACTATCGATAAATCCACTAAACCATCCATTGTAATAAGTTAAGGGTTTAGATTCTTCAAACTTTATACCATATAACTTACAAACCTTATCTAATTGTAACATTTTTGTAGGATTTCTAATTAAACCATTAACACTATTAACTAATTTAATTAACCCTTCTTTATGGGCTAATTTATATTTTAAACCTGAAGATATCTCTTTAATAGACCCACCAAACTTATGCTTTAGAGTATAAAGAGCTAATTTATCTTGTTTATCCATTACAATTTTAAAATTAGCATAACCTTTTTTAGCCTCGGCGTCTTCTTTGCTTTGCAAAGAAGACTGAGGCTGCGGAGCCGATACAAAAAATTTACCGTCACCATCTATTAATCCTGATAATCATTCATCAAATTCTTGAGATGTATTAGAATATGATTGTGTAGTTACATAAGTTCTTTTTTGTTGTACATTAGTTATTAAGCATTTATTTATTCTTTTTTTATTTGTACCCGATTTTATTTGTTTAATGGATTCAAATCCTTCTGTTTGGTCCCCCTCACTTTTTTTTTTATATAAAAAAAAGTGAGGGGGACCTGAAGTAATATGAGCTTTATTTTTCATTAATTCTGCTACACGATTAAAATCAGAAAAATCTAAAGATTTAGACCCATGTAAAGGGTATTTATTAAAAAAAGGAATAATTTTAGTATAAATATCTTCAAATTTAGTAACAATAAAATCACCAGCTTCAGGTGAACTTAAACTATAACGCCCACAGTTAAAATAATTAACAAATTCTTTTAGTAAATCGGTATCTCTAATGTGTTGTGTAATTTTAAATACTAAGCCTACACCTGTTGAATTATTGGTTAATGATATGTAAAAACATCCATCACCATCTACAAAACCAGATACTCAATATGGATGGATAGTTTCCAATTTAGGTGTAATAGTTTGAGGTCTTAAAGAAGGAATAATATTTGGAAAAACAATTTTTAATTCTTCAGATAAACCGTTATTGAAACTTGCTTTTAAAGACAATATTACTTGAAAACCTTCTTGTGTTAAATGTTTTTTTTGTTTAATTAATTCAAATACTAATTTAAATATTTTATAATCAGAGAATTTTTGTGTAATTAAAGGATAATTATTGAAATGATTTATAATAACTTCCATATCTTTCATAGAATTTACTATATACTCAATATACCCGTCTTTTCTTGTATAAATTTTACCTGCTGTCGCTGCCCCAGCCGTGTAGACGGCGTCCGGGGCTACATTAAAAAAATTTAAAATTCTTTCTAACAACTCTTTATCTTTTGAATGTAGTTTTAATTTAAAAGATAGACTTATGCTATAATCTAATTTTAAGCCTGGTCTAGATTGTATATTTATTAAAAAACTACCCTCAGCATATGTAAATCCTGTTACATAATAAGGGTTTAATGTATTATTTTCAGTAAATAAACCCTCAGATTTATCATTTAAAATATTTCCACCTAAAGTGGAGTACATTTTGAATCTTGAATTACTAGTTAATCTTTTTTTAATAGAAAATATGAGAGAAGAAGGCTCGCATATAGTTTGATGCCTAAATATACTTGAATGAGTAATATATTTTCGAGCCAATTGACTCATAGTAGAATAAGCTATAACTTAAGAATTATCTACTTTAATAGAATATGAAATTTTATCTAATATAACTTCTTTATTATTAACTATTCATGTTTTTACTGTCGAAGGTCTTACATTTAAAAATCTACTGCAACTACTCAAAGAATCAAACATTTGTAAAACTCTTCCATCTTTATCTTCTAATATAACTTTTATGCTTTTAGGATCAGAATAATATTTATTTAAAGATTTAATAAAAATACGTCCATTTCTTATTTCAAAATTGGACTCTCCCATTAATAATCTATTTATATTTTCCAGTAACAAAATCCTATCCACTTTGGGTTTAGAACTAGAAGATAACCTATTAATATTCATTTGACTTACAATTTTATTTATTAATTGTAGCCCCTCATCGGTATAATGTAAACCTGATTTTTTTAATTTCAATACAGCTTTTCAATCTAAATAATCCAATTCTTTTTTTGATTGTCATTTCATTGAATCTAATAATGGGATAAGTACCTTAGTTATATAATCCAAAGAAAGGATCTTAAGATATACCATATCAAAAGTATTAGCCTTAGACGCTTTATTTATTTCTAAGTGAATATAGTCCTTAGGCGGCAGATCCGAAACTGATTCAGATAAGTTAAGCAGATAAGTTTGAATTTTTTCCATTAAAGTTAAATCTCTAATAGATTGACAGAGATTAAACCCTAAAGAAAAATTATTAGTCTTCGCTATATAAAAACTTCCTTCCCCTTCTATAAATCCTAACAATCAATAAGATGATATTTTTAACTGGAAATTCTCTGGCTTGACAAATATTGATCTTTTTGAATTCATATTAATAATAATATTGTCTATAATTTTTTTTACCTCTTTTTTATCTCCAACAGTACCAGTATATAACTCATAAGCTTTTTTAAAATCTAAAAAATTAAGATGCTTACTTGTGTTAAAAGGACGATGTTCAAAAATATCGATTAATTTTCGAACATCTGAAATAGACTCTATCGCAAAAATTGCATGACTTTTTCCTATTCACACCCTACCAAAGCCCAAAAATTGTTCTATAAAAATTAGTACATTAACATCGTCTACATGTAAGCATATTTTAAATGAAAATTTAAAAGCATAAGTATATTGAGCTCTAATTCCAAAGGTACCTTCTCCATCCACAAAACCTCTAAATCATTCTAGAAAGTTTTCATCATAAAAGTTAACCTTTTTAGATAAAGATGTACTATAGTTTCTTACACCCTTTAATAATTTATTATCTATTGACCCTCCTGAATTAATTAAACTGGTATTTGTTTTTATTTTGAAGAATTCTCTATCTACGTTGGATTTTTTCAAGTTAAATGCGTTATAGTCTGAAACTTCAAATTTATCTCATTTATCTTTAAACTTAACTCATTCATTTAATTTTTCCACTAAAGGTGCATTTTCATTTGACGAAACATCCTTGTTATTGTTACTAATTCATTTTAAATAGAATTCTTTAATTAACATAATCCTATTTAGTTTTTTAGTTCTTAAAGGATATTTAGTAAAATAATTATCTACTAAATTAAACAATTCAATTTTTCTATAAATAGTGTATCTGAAAGCTTCAGTCTTAGAATTCATAATACTGACTCTACCTCCATAAATACAAACTAACGGATCTAATAAATATTTATTTTTTTGATTTATATCAATACTAACTTGTCCATTTGCTTCATTTATATTAATTGAGCCCTCGCTATCGATAAATCCACTTAATCAACCATTATTGAATATTAAAGGTTTAGGATACATAAGTTCTATATTATAATTTTTACATAGTTTGTTCATTTGTAATAATTTAGAAGGATTCCTTATTAAACCGTTTACAGCTTTTAATAAAGCTATTAAACCTTTTTTATGACTTATTAGATACTTTACCGCATTTTTTTTTGCAATTGTATGTATAGACCCTCCAAATTCATGTCTAATATCATATAATACCTTTTTATCTCTAATATGCATAATGATAGTCAAACGAGCTATACCTTTTTTAGTTAAATTAAAATTACCCACTCCGTCTATTACACCTGCCAATCACTCATAAAAAGGATCTATTTTATTAACAGTAGTATTAACGGAACTAGTAGAGTATTTCCTAATCTTTTCTTTAACTAAAGGAATGGCGAAAACATTCCCTCTAAAAGGACACAAGTCCGTACCTGTATTACCATATCGATGGAAGGATTTGATTATATGATATCTGTAATAACCCCTCTTTAAATATAGGGCTACTATATGAAATAAATTAAAACAGAATACGAATAAAAAATATAAAGTATAAAATCCCAAATATCCGAAAAATAAAAGAAAAATAACCCAAGAATTTCATATTCTTGAATTTACACTGTAATTCAAATAATTTAATAATATAGAGAAAAATAAGACCAATATCAAGCGTATGGCCTCTGAGGTTCCTACTAACCTGCTTATAGTAATAGGTTTTCTCTGTTCTAACATACTAATTATAATTCTTAATATGTTGAAGTACTGAGACAAATGAGAATTAAACCATGTATCACTAATATAATTATTTAAATAATTATGGGCTTTGGTTACCTGCGAATTACTCATCCGTAAAAGGATGAATTCTACGTAAATAGCTTGAATCCTATGTATAATAACTAGATAGTTATTATATATTCGAGCCAATTGACTCATAGTGGAATAAGCTATAATTTTTTTTATATCTTGTTGGAATAAACCTATAAGAGAGCTAAATACTGTTGTAATTGCACCTAATCATAGACATACCACTAGTACTGTTGAACTATATTCTATTAAAGGAGATGAACGCATTAATAGATAAACTCCTGCCGTACATTTGTGTTGGCTATCCTTAACTATAAGGAATAGCGCGCCATATCTTTAGACATGGATCGGACTATATCTTTAACTTATAAATTTATTGACGTCTTTCGTTAAAAGATCTATTTTATTTAGTCCTTCTAACGTAAGATGTTTCTTATTTAATACCATATCATGTATTTTACATCATTTAGTAAATGAAAGAGATTTTTTGGTTTTTAATTTGTATCTAGAAAAGTAATTTATGATAACCTTAAGTTTAGTAAAAGATGAACAATGAAAGTTTCAACCATCCCAACTATTATCATAGCTAACATTTTTTAAATCTAAAGAATCAGTATTTAAAAATACATCACGAAGTGTTTTAATTATATCAAATTCTTTTTGAGAAACTTGAAATGTTAAATGCGGAGCTCTTCTAAGTTTAGATGTAGAACAACTCTTAACCCTACCATAAAAACAACCTTCTGCGTCTACAAAGCCAGATATTCAACCTGAATGTAAACTAGGTTTAACTAACTGATCTTTAAAGGGAATCTCCATATTATATTGTTTGTTAAATGTAGTTAATCATACTTTAAATTGTTCTTTTTTATAATGAGTGCATAAATTACCATTAAATATATGAATTAATCTAGCAAAATTTTCTTTTGAAGAAACATAAAAAACTCCTACATTTCTATTTTCCTCGTTTCTCATTAAAATTTTACCAAATCCTAGTTCTTTTTTTATATAATAAAGAACTTGTATATCCGAAATACTTTGAGTAATATCAAAATAGATTTTATCCTTAGATACAATAAAAGAACCATCTCCCTCTGTGAAACCTATGAATCATTCTAAAAACTGTTTGTTAACTTTTTTTTTATGTTGAGGTATTAAATTAGAATATTCATTAAATTCATAAGTTATATCACGTGTAGCCTCTGAGGATCCTTCGTCACCCGACGAAGTTTCCTGCTGATTAACCCCTTTTAGATTAGAAAAAACTCTTCTAAAACACAAGATTTTCTTATTTATCTTATCTAAGGGTAAACTTAAAATATAAATAAACTTGATGTAAGGTGATCCCAGCAAACAGTGATATCATAATTGATTAACTCACATTAATCAACGGCTATCTTTAACCATAGTGGCAGCGTGAATTAGTGCACTAACGGGTGTAGGACCCTCCCAAAGCTCACAGCATATGTATTTATAAAAAAAAAAAATACTTCGTATACACCTGTCAAATAAATAGAGCTTTCGACTGTACATTAAGCAGCATTTCAGCCACCCCGTGGTGACCCAGTCTGTAGCGATACATTAAAATACCGACGGTCTTGACTACGAAACATCTTGACCGTTTTCACCTAAGTAGCGTTTAAGTCCAAAAGTGTTTGGATTTTCCATACGTCTTCAAAATATATTGGGTTTAATCCTTACTATACTTCTAATATGGTTCTAGAGTCGAACTTTACCATAATTATATTTAAATAATAACTGTTCATCGACCCTTTGCGACTTTTAAGGTAATCGCCATAGGTAGTCATACGTGGAGTCCTACTTGAGAACTTTTAGCCATAGCTCCAATAACTAAACATACACCTACAATAGTTACAAGATTTTCATTCATGTAAGGAGCTAATGAGAATACTGTTGCATAATCTAAATTACCAAAAGCCAAAATAATTGCAAACATACCTATAGTTAAAAAGCAATCACCAACCCTATTAGTTAAAAATGCTGAAAGAGCACTTTGATTTGCTGGTATTCTAGAATGTCAGAAACATACTAAAAGATACGAACAAACTCCTACACCTTCTCAACCTACAAACATTACTAAAAAATTGTTTGCTGTAACTAACATAAGCATCATGAAAGTAAATAAGCTTAAATAACTAAAGAATCTTTGGATATGCATAAAAATCAAATTTATCCTGCAATTGGTTTATAAAGTGTTTATTAACAATGGTTAAATATCTTCTCAATGTCTACCTGTGTTCATACCAGATTTTATCTTTCTAATAGAATGAATACCTTCAACCGTAAGATGAGAACGATTAACCATTAAACTATGAATTTTACATCAATCAAGATAATCATACAGTTTTATACCTATTATAGTATTTTTATTTAAAAATGGAATGATTATATTCGTAATATCCTTAAAATCAACTATTGATAAACTAACTGCGGATTTACCAGCATATTTATATATATTCCCTGACCCTAAATACTCCACTATTTTCTGCATTAATACAAAATCTCTACTGTGTTGAGATATTCTAAATCTCAATTGTACTCGATAACCTAGTTTACTACTGGTGGATGGTATACGAACATCAAAATTCCCCTCAGCGCTTATAAACCCTGAAATTCAATGAGGGTTTAAATTTATATTAGCATAATTTATAACAGGTCTATCGACTGGGATATATCCAGCAAACTCTGATTTTAATATGTCAGATAAACCTAAATTCATGGATGCTTTGATATTCACTATTTTTTTTAGACCTTCAACCGTAAGATGAGCTTTATCATTAACAAGTTTTACCGCTTTTTTAAATAATAAAAAATCTGAGGCTTTTTGAGTCAATAACGGGTATTCCTCTAAATGAGTAATAAGTTTATTTAAATCTTTAGTTGAATCTATTGAATAATTAACTACGTCTCGGTTTGAAGCTAAATGAATAGAACCAATACCCCCTAAGTATTGTTGTAGTAGACATAATAAGTTAAGATCTTTCGTGTGTAAACCTATTTGAAATTTTAATTGAACACGTCAACCTAATGTGCGAACTTTATTTTTGTCTACTATTATCGTAAACGAACCTTCACCATCTATTAGACCAGATCAGACTCCAGGATTTACAAAGGTAGAACTATAGGTAGAAAAATTTTTTAAACCGAATTGTTTAGATGGGTTTTTGATAAAGGAGTTTCAACCTTGTTGCATGTTGAAACCGAGGTTTATATCTCTACTCTTTTCAGAACCCTGTAGAGTACACCTTAAATTTATTAAATTTGGTTTAATAAATCAACTGCCGTCTACTCATTGCTCTTTTACAACAATATTTTTGAGTATTGCTGACTTAGATCCGCGATGGTCCATTTTGTTTTCACTCATCTTAAGACTTGTTACCATACCTGAGTAATTACTTCAGCCACATATAGTTTTTCAACTATTGCTTGGTATCTTAAGCTTTAGGAGTTTCCCGGAATTTGACAGTTTACCCCCATAGACGCGTTTTCCCCTTACGCGCCCCCGAGGGTCAGTGCTCATATAACCTATGGAGTATATATGTACTAAAGAAGCTACGATTAAAACAGGTATAAGCATGGATCGTACCCTAATTAGTGCAATTTAATTCTAAGAAATATACATATAACTGGGTTGAAACCAGGTGTTACTACCATATGATAATATATTATCCCCTGTGCCGTGCCCAGTTTAATTTTCTGTTATTTCTCTCATTATATTTGAACTACTTTTAGGGACCGAATGTACATTTGAACAGACATTTCAGCCTAACCCTTGTGAACCATTCTGTAGCGACATTTATAACTGCCGACGGTCTTTGAAAATGTATATTTTTCTTTTAACATATCATTGACCGTTTTCACTTTATATATATAAGTATAGAATTGTAGGATTATAATCTTACCCAATTCCTCTTGATTTACTGCATAATTGTTACAAGTCGACTTTTTAACACCGACTATGACCCATAAAGGACCCAATCCTTAAGGGCACCCTACCTTTCCAAAAGTGTATTTATCACTTTTCCTCTCCCTAATAAGCAAGGACAAGAAAGAAGGTAGAGTACGGTTTTTAATACTAACTTTTATGCTGAGTTTTTTTTCATAACTACCGCCCGTAATACGTTTATTATTTATCTATTAACTTACTACTTAAAATAAATTATTTACATGTGTTCCATCACACAAATATGGTTTAGATAGAAAATGTAACTAATATAAAACCTGAAACGTTAAATAAAAGTATAAATTGTTATGCAAATGGGCTATGGTTAAATACAGGTACTCTTCTAATTTTATGGTTATTGAGTTCAACTCAATATTCTTTTGAAGATTGGACTTTTATATCTAAATATTTACTTAGAGTGTCTGGATATACTCCCACAATAGAGGCAGCTTCTGATAAAGTATTTGCCATTAAGACATCTCCATTTAACTCACGTATATCATACACACAACTAGTTTGTTGATGTACTAATTTTCCTGTAGATAAATCTAATGCTCGACCATCATAAAGATATTCCACAGTTGGTGGTGAAGATATTAATTTATCTCTTTCCTCAATACTTAAGTATGAGCCTGGAATTGTATTAGTTGATAAACGGTACTTATTCATTGTATAAGATAACTTTAATATTGTTTTTTTTATCTCCTGTTCTCTATAACTCCCATTATAAACAGCTCTACAAATAATTTTTAAGTCTTGAAAATCTTTAGCTTTTTTAGTTAAAAATGTCATATCGTCTAAAAAAGGTAAGAAATAATTATTTAAAACTTTAACATTCTTAATGGTAATAGCTACGCTACTTTTACTATTATTTCTAGCTTTTATTGTTGTTACTGCTATGGTAGAAGAGTTTTTCAATTTATATAAACTATATAGATCAAATCCTAAAGAATTTTCTAAAAAATCTTTTATTTTAAGTAAAACGTCAAGTTGTACTCCGGTTAATTCCAAACAAAAAACGGGTATCAAAGTATCTCTTCTTACAAAAAAGGACCCGTCTCCTTCTATGAACCCTAACAATCAGCTTTTCGTTATTATGATTTTAGAGTTTTCTGGCCTATCAAAATTAACACGGTTAGTATTCATTTTATTCTTCAATTCTAGTATTTCATGCTTAACGCATTCAGGACTTAAATTTTTACCTCTATTAAAGTATAAATTAAAAGCTTTCTTAAAATCTAAGTAATCTAAGTATTTAGTAGTATTAAGATTGTACTTGTCAAATATATGTATTAATAATTTAATTCCTTCCATGTCTGTAACGTTAAATATACACTCGTTTTTATAGAGTCTAACTTTACCTATAGCTAACGTACTAGAAATATATCTTAAAACCGCTTCATCGTCTTTATGAAGCGATATCTTAAACATAAAACCAAAACTAGAGATCGTGCTTTTGTCCTTTTTTACTAGAGAATTAATCATAAAATTGGATTCCGCATCCGAGAAGCCGACAAATCATTGAAGAAAATTGTCTTTATCCTTTTTGTCTTTGTAGTGATATTGTGTACTAAAATTACTTTTAATAGAAAAAGATCTTTTTTGAAAAAAAGAGTTAACGAGACATCTATTCTTAGAAGAATGTTTTAGATGGGCTATACCTGTATTACTGCAGCAAAAAGAACCGCCAGCTGAACAAAATTTATGGACAAAAATCACCTTATACAGTTGGATTTTCACCAACACAGCATCTACGTTTAACACTGTCAATGAATCATAACAAAATGCTCAGTATACATTTAATGATTCAGAATCAATTCACCTTAATACCTCCATATATACAGGTATATTATTAAATCCAACTTCAAAAAACGCTAAAACAGCGAATATAGTTGTAGTTACAACCGCTGTACATGTAATTATTTGTGCTCCTGATATTCCGACTTTTCTACCAAAAAAACCAGAAGCTATAGATCCAAATAGTGGTAAGATAATTATAGCTAGATACATTATTTAAATTCAATACTAATACTTCCTCTTCGTTTTCTCCCTTTTCCATAGGAATTACATTCCCTTAGGAAGGATAGGATATTACCATAATATTTATATTATGCCTGACTATATCTTAAGCAAATAATTTTATAATTATAAACCAACCTCCATTTAGTCGATGAACTGTGCACCAATATTACTATACTGATGTTTAGCTGCGGATTATCTATTTCATTTCTTCATACAAACCGTTTTTACCATACAACGAGTCATTACCTGTTCCATTAATAATATTACTATATTAATTTGGTAGATTTATCTTTAAGATTTCCCCGCATTTTTAAGGTTTCGCCTCCATAAGACTAGATAAAGGTTTGCTTTACCTTTTTTGACCTATTTTCTCTCAAACCCTTAATCATTACCATGATTATTTTTAGGATTAATCCCCATTTTGTCTTTTAATAGTAAGATTTCTTTTAAACCATTCTCTTTTAAATGCTCTTTTTTTTTTACCATTAAAGCAGCCCTTTTAAAATAACAATAATTTGAGTACTTTGATCCTGCAATATTATGTTCTTCAAAAAGAGGTATTACATGATTAATTATATCATCAATTCTTGCAACTACAAACTCAGCTATTGAACGCTTTTCATATTTAACCACATACCCGCATTTAAATAAGTCTACAAAACTCTCTAATAAAGCTACGTCTCTTAAATCTTGAGCAATAGAAAAGCGTAATGAAGCATATAAACTGTCTGTTGTTTTAGATTTATTAATAGCAATATAAAAATTAGATTCTCCTGTTGAAAATCCAGCTATTCACTGTTTAGAGTGCACAAGTATGTTATAGTTAATAACTCTTTCTTCTCTTATAACAGGCATAGTGTTAGGAAAATCCTGTTTTAATTGATCAGATAAACCTCAATTCATAGATGCCCTTGTATTAATTATTTTCTGTATTCCCTGTGAATTAGTATGCTGTTTTTCTAACATTAAGTTAATAATATTTTTAAAAAGCACATAATCGGAATATTTTTTAGTTAATAAGGGATAATTATCAAAGTGCGGTATAATCACATTAGTTATATCCTTAAGAGCATGAACCCTAAATTCCACTGTAGAATTATTATTGGGGTTGGATACAAGTCCTATACCTCCGAAATATTCCTGTATTTTCAATACTAAAGATCTATCTTTTTCATGCATTTTTAGTTGAACTCTAGCCTGTACATTTCATCCCGTTTTATATCTAGGATTGTTTAACATAGCAATTAGAAAAGAACTTTCAGCATCAAAAATTCCAGTTATGAATAAGGGATCTAAAGAATTTTTAGTCAGGTCCCCCTCACTTTTTTTTATATAAAAAAAGTGAGGGGGGACCAAATTAAAAGAATTTTTAGTCAGGTCCCCCTCACTTTTTTTTATATAAAAAAAGTGAGGGGGGACCAAATTAAAAGATTTAGATGTAGAATAATTTCTTATTTCTACTCCCCTCATGGTTTTTACCCTGCTATGGGACAAACCTGCGAGGGTTAGTGAAATAATATTAAAAGGTTTAATGGGTGATCTAGGTTGACTAAAGGATAGATGGTGTGATTTAAAAGAGATAAATCTATAAAAAGCTACTAATATACCTAGACCTATCGCAGATTCAGCACCCGCAATGGCTATGATATATACAGCAAATGTTTGCCCTAAAATATCGTCGAAGCTAAGTGAACTAACCAATACTAGAAATGTAATAGCTAATAACATTATTTCTATGGAAATAAGCATTAATATTATGTTTTTTCTGTTTAAAACAAAACCCAAAATTCCAATTGTAAATAAAATTAGTGATAAATTCATTGTTAAAAAAAAAAAGTTAATATGTGTATCCCAAAATAATGATCTAGGGTTTGAACTTAGATTAGGATAGTAAAGCTACCCTGTTTTACCCGTTAAACTAATCATTATTATTTGTGCATTAGGTAGAATTACCTAATACATTACTACATAATTTTATATCTTAACTATAAATGTACTTAAAAATGGACCTTGTACTAAATATATTTATATATATATATATTATATCCATTGTAATCCTAAAACCTTACAATTTGTTTTTATATAGAGTTATAACTTTTAATTACATTGTATTAAAAAAGGCTTTACGTAGTATAAGTGATATATAGATTACTCTTCTACCTATATGCTTTTTACAAAATGTAATTGCAAATTTTAAGCTTAAATATAAAGCAATACATAAACTGGGGTTTGTTATATTATAGGGTAAGGTCGTTACTTTTTCATTACAAGTTACCTGTAAAAAAAAATTTTTTTTTTTTTGATTTGTTAGATAGGTTTTATCCTACTATTGTTCTAGACATCCGGTTAAGATTATATATAAGGGAACATATTATCCAGATTATACTACAATAGGTATTGAACTGTATAAGATACCGCTCTATATGTATTGGACCTAGTAGTTTTTAATGTAGAAGTTACATAAACTAAGGTTTAGGCTAATTTTAAACACCATTTTAACTAGATAAAAAATGACTTTAATCACTAAATTTACGCTTACCTGCGGTAGATGGAGTAGACATAGCATAATCCCCACTTGCTAACTTTGCATTTAAAATACCTAACATTCTTTTCTCAGATAGAAGGTTAACATGTGAGTCCCTTAATGCAGATTTAGCTTGGTCATGTTCCCGTTGTCATTCTGCTAAAGTACCGTTATTTTCATGAAAGGGTTTTATGCTTAAGACTTCTTTAAAATCCCTATTGGAAGCTTGAACTTGCTCCTGAAAGTATTGAACATTACTTTGTACCGCAGATATCCTACTTACTAGGTTAAGACGCATTTCTGAGGCTGTGTCCTTTTGGACGGTATTTTCTCCACCTGTAGAACCCGCATTCATATTAGGCTGAGAGTTTTTGGATGAACTTAGTAAAATATGATCGTTCACCCTAGGACCTTTTTCCACAATGCCACCATCTACCCCTATTGCTATGCAAGAAGGGTCTGTGTTAACGTATTGTATATTTAGATCTCTAACATAAGGTATGAATTCATGATAAACTCCATAGTGTATTGCTATACATCCATTAACTACTAAATATGTAACGAATAATACCATGAAAATATTAACTAAGGTTGCCTTGTAATATAGAAAATAGCAAAACAATTTAAAATAGATAAGATCTCTATTTTTTATTCATTGTTGTATTGTGTAATACTTCTTAATAAGTACCAAAGCAATTAAGCTTCAAAATAAAAATGCACATAAAGTAGGGTAGTTTAAATAGTTATTACATCCAATATCTCACACCTTAGGTGCATCACAACTAATTACACTCACATCAAAACAGTAAATTAAAGTAGATACTGAGTAGTGTATAGCGTCTAATATTGGAGCAGGATATATACCAAAGAAAACGGTAGGTATAACCAGTATTAATAAAATAGTAAATTCTCTCTTAGTTAAATCTGGTATATTAACTGTAAACATTCTTGAATAGGCTCCTCCAAAAGCTATTCTTTGGAACATATAGATAGTATATGCTGCAGAGAAAATAATAGAAGAACTTGCAAAGACACCAAATAAAGATGATCTTTCAAATACCCCATATAACGATAAAAATTCTCCTATGAAGTTTAAAGATAAAGGAGCTCCACAGTTAGCAAGACATAGTATGAAGAATAATATAGCAAATAGTGGCATTACTTGAGTAACTCCTCTGTAAAAAGATATAACTCTTGTAGAAGATCTATCATATAATACACCTCCTGCACATATAAATAGACCTGGTGAAACTAGTCCATGAGCCAATCCTAAATTAATAGCACCTTCAATACCTTGTATACTGTTACTAAACACAGCTAGAAGATAAACTGCAGCATGAGAAACAGAACTGTATGCAATAAGTTCTTTAATATCTATTGTTCTTAATGTACTAAGACTAGCATATACTATAGTAATTACACCAATTAGGAAAATTATATAAGTATATTCCATATAAGCTTTAGGTAAAACAGGTAAAATTAATCTCAGAATACCATATAAACTCAATTTAAGAACAATTGCTGCTAAAATAATACTTCCTCCTAAAGGTGATTCAACATGAGCCTTTAAAAGTCAGGTATTTAGGAAAATGGTAGGAGTTTTTACAGCAAAAGCTATAAAAATACCATAAAATAAGAAAAGTTGTGTTACATAAATGAAATTTCCTTTAAAAATAGTATCAAAATCAGTAGTGCTCATAATAGATGACATTGCTAATATAGATAATAATAAAAATAAAGAACCTAACACGTACACTATCCGACCCTTTTTAAATTTTTTTTTGCCAAAAAAAGAATAAATTTAATAAAAATAAGGACTTTAGTGTTATCTTTAATTTAGGGTTACTTCAATCCACACCGTACTAGACGGTTTAATCCATCCTTGTGTGATATAATGCAAAATATAACGTTTAGTAGTAGTGATTTGTTAAAAAGAATCTCTTTGAAAATTCATATTAGATTTTATTAGCTTAATTTTATTTATACCTTTTTCAGTTAAGTGATCTTTTTTGGTTATTAACACAGCCACTTTTTTAAAATCTTCATAATCTGAGGCTTTAACACCTTTAATAGGATATTTGTCAAAAAATGGTATTACTTTGTCAGTAATATCCTGTAACTTTGTCACTACAAAATACACCTCTGATCTAGCTAAACTTAATTCAATTCTACCGCAATCAAACATAGCAATAAATTTTTTCATAAGTTCTGTGTCTCTACTGTGTTGAGCAATATGAAATTTCAGACTTATAGATTTACCTAGTTTAGTTGTAGAACTATTACGTATGTAAACAAAAAAACATCCTTCACCACTAGTAAAACCTGTTAATCAATATGGATCTTTAACATCTTTATCTAGAAGTAAAGGTCTATTTACCGGAGTAATATGAGGGAAAACTAATTGTAATTCCTCAGATAAACCTTTATTCATAGAAGACTTAATAGCAAGTATTTTATTAAACCCTTTATCAGTCAAATGTTCTTTATTTTTAAGTAATGAAACGGCTAACTTGAAAAGTTCGCAATCAGACCATTTTTGACTAATAAGTGGATATTCTTCAAAATGAGCTAAAATAACATCTAAATCTTTTAAAGATTTAACTCTATATTCTATAGTAGTGTTACCATGTTTCGTAATAGTTCCTACACCAAAATAATCTTTAACCTGAGATAATAAATTGAAATCCTTTTTATGTAAAGTAATTTTGAATATTGCTTGAGTTTGATAACCCATCCTGTACTTACTACTAACGAACAATCCTATTGCAAAACATCCTTCTGCATCTACAAACCCCGTTATTAATAAAGGGTTTAACTTTATAGAGTTTTGCTCTCCAAATAAATTGTTTACTTTTTTACTTAAAGTGAGATTATCTCTCATAGATTTAGTTGTATGTATAAAAGCTTTTGTTGATAAAAGCCCTTTTACAACTTTGCAGTTATTAGGATGGAAAGGGATTTTTCTCCCTAAAACTGGTTTCCCAGCGACTAGAGTACACCTTACAAAATCTAAACTTCTAGACTTTGAAGAACCATCTACTCGTTGCTCTTTTACAGATAAAGCAAGCCTTATCTGATTTAGATCCGCGATCACCCGTTTCATTGCTGAGATCTTTAGTAATCTTACCATACCCCCAGGAATTAATGGGGCCAGTAATAAAGTTTCCTTTATTACCTTGGTTACTAAAGCTTTAGGGCTTTTCCGGAATTTGGCTCTTTTACACTGAGAACATAAGTTATATATTTCTGTTATTAATGTGTATAGGAATAAATAAAAACTAGCCTTTACTCTATTATCTGACCCGAATATACCAATCAATATGAATAGTGGCGGTAAGATACTTTCAAAAAAAATGTAAAAGAGTAATATATCTAACACTAAGAAAACCGCTAATAATAAAGTTTCTAACAATAGGATTATAATAACATAAGATTCTACATCTTTTGTTATTGATTTTCAATTAGATACTAGTGAAATAGGTATGATAATGGTAGTTAATAAAACAAAGTATATAGATAGACCGTCTACACCTAGGTAAAAATCAAAATAACTTATTTCATGATATTCTTGTACAAATTGAAACTGATTTGTACCAAAATCAAATAAAATAAAGATTACTAATGATATAAATAAATTTAAGATAGATGTAGTTAACGCTATGAATTTAATATTTCGTAGTGAAACTCCATTATCCTTATTAATTAATATAGCAAGTACACCTAGTATGGGAGTTAATAGTAATGATGATAATAACATTTATAAAACAATAATTAAAAATACCTCTATTTCGTATAGGATAATAATGTATCATCTATACTATAAATCTGCACCTTATAGATAGTAAGGTAATGAATTCTGGATATAAACATATATATAAGCAGATATATGCTTTAAAAACTGAGTTTACTTATATAATACTCAAACTTATACTAATATCTAAAGTATATCTTTTTCTGCCATTAAACCCATAAGTATTTTGTATAATAACAGACTACTATAAAATTAAATATTAATATACATATTGTGTATGAAGATGTATCCGTTAAATATTAATTACTAATCATTAGTAATACTTTTTATAATGTTTTTATAGGGCTTTACCAAACATAATTTTAGTCTTCTCCCCCTTTTAATAACTGTAGATATATATCTACAAAAGCCATTAACCAGTACAAACTTCTTATTTTTCTACTGGGATTTGTTATACTGTTTTTTTCTTTTTTCTGTATTTTTTTTTTATTTACATATATCAAGATATATGTAAATAAAAAAACTGGAAAAAAAAACTATAATAGATAAAAGATCATACTATAAACGAATTTTATCTTTTTCATAACAAGTTAACGGTAATGGTACCCTTATTTTCTAACTACTCTTGTAAAAGATATAGTCATTATTTAGGTACGGCTTGTAAAAAGTACTAAAAATAATAAGTAGTACTAATATAATATTAGTACTATAAATAAATATATAAATAAAGGCTCTTAACCCTATTAAATTAAATAAAGCATAAGATGTTATAACTCCCAGTTAATGGTAATTTAACCGTTATTTTTTCATCGGCCGGCAGATAGACTAGTTAAACATAATTTAACCGTTATTTGCTATCCTCATAAATCTCCTTAGCCCGATTATCTGAATATTCATCTAATACACTGTAGCCCCATACACGAAATGTTGCCTCTTTATTATGGCCAGTTTCAACATCAACATGGTCTGTTCATGTAGCATCCAAGTTTGTAACAGCTCTATTCCCTTTTTCTAATCTGTCCCTCTGTTCAGCAACCAATTAATCCATAAAACTAGATACCTGATCAGGGTTTGTGGCTACATTTTTGGCTGAATCATATAATGCTTCACCACTAAGTACAACATCTACAATAGCATGCATCTACTAGTTGAATTATATTATAACTCTGTATAATCACAACGGAATTAAGTGGTGATTATTTTTCAGATGCAGTGTGTTTTAATTACACAAAAGTTTTTTAAATAATGGTAACACCATACATTACAAATGTAAAACATAAGAAATATAAAAGGGTACTTATTAGGCCAAATTTAATAAAGGGGGACTCGGACTCTACGTGTTTAGCCCCTAATTGCTTTAAGATTAAGAAATTAGCCACAAACACAAAGAAAGCTCATTTACTTAAAGGTCTAAATTGCATACCTCTTGATCTACTTACATCTGTAATAGGTAGTAATAGTAAAATAAGAATAGCAGAAAACATAGCTACAACTCCTAATAATTTATTAGGAATAGATCTTGATATAGCATAGAAGGGGAGAGGATATCACTCCGGAACTATAGCAGCAGGAGTTTGCCTAGGATTTGCCCAGATATTCTGAAGAAGTAAATGTTATTTTTGTACCATCCATAAAAAAGTATAAATCTTAATTTCCAAGAACTTAAAAAGTATTGATTCACTATTTTTATTTGTTATAGTAAATTATGGAGTATAGATCTCACTATAAGATAGACCTTACTACAAGCTAAACCTTACTTTAAGATAGACCTTACTATACGCTAAATCTTACTTTAAGCTAGACCTTACTATAGCCTATAAAGGTAAAAGATCTCTTGCAATATAGGTAGTTTTACTACCTAAATAGCTAGCCTTACTGCTATTAAAAAATAAAAAAGCTATATGCTTAAATATATTAGGCACATAGCATTTATATGAATCTAAACTAATATATAAATCTTAAGAACTACATACACAAACATTTTCAGAATTTAGGTAATTTATAGCTAACTTTGCAGCTAATTCACTATCTTTAGTTTCATCTATGACGCAACTGGATCCTTTGTACTGGATTTCTTTAACATTATCCCTTTTAAATTCTAATTCAGCTTTATCTCAAGTCAAAGGTATTAATCTTTCTTTTTCGCTACCCACATCTAAACCTATGTACATAGTAACAGATATTTCTGCTGAATTAGCTAAAGAAGAGAATTTTTTTAATATTACTAGGTCTTATAAGTGAATTATGTAATAAAGAGGATACCTTTATATTCATGTGGTAACTAGCGTTGTTTCTAGTAATAAGGTCAAAATCGGAACAATGTTTGCTGTTAGTGTAGAAATTTAAGTCAATAAATGAATTTTCGATTAAAGTAACAGAATACATTACAACTGTGAAGTATAAAAAGTATAAAAGGGTACTTATTTGACCAAATTCAATAAATGGTGATTCAACGTGTTTAGCTCCTAATTGCATTAAGATTAAGAAATTAGCCACAAACACAAAGAAAGCTCATTTACTTAAAGGTCTAAATTGCATACCTCTTGATCTACTTACATCTGTAATAGGTAGTAACAGTAAAATAAGAATAGCAGAAAACATAGCTATAACTCCTAATAATTTATTAGGAATAGATCTTAATATAGCATAGAAGGGAAGAAGATATCACTCCGGAACTATAGCAGCAGGAGTTTGCATAGGGTTTGCCATTACATAGTTTTCACTGTCACCTAATACGTTAGGCATAAAGAAAACAAATAATGATAATACAAATATAAATGCAAATATTGTAATAAGATCTTTAAATATGAAGTAAGGTGCAAAGGCTATTCTTTCATAGTTACCTGAAACACCTAAAGGATTACCTGCGTAATCATACGACTGTACATTAAACATCAATATTAATATAAATTTGTAATATTAACATCCACCAGTAACCCAGTCTGTAGCGACCATGTATTAGACTAGTCTAATATTAAAATGACCGACGGTCTAATATTAAGCGATATGTTAATATCTTAACCGTTTTTACTGGCATTGCCAAACCATAATAACTTACAAAATGTTTTCTACAATCTCAAAAGGGATAGTCCCCATAGAGGGGGGGGTAAGTATTATAATTTAAGTATCCGGTAGGAAACTTAGAGATTAAATATTTAATCTCACGACTACTTATATATATTTATAATCCTAATTTGTAATGCATACTAGGAATCATATAAGGTAACACCAATTCTTTTAATAAAGAGATAGATTCTTGTTTAATATATAATTGGAAATTTGAATTGTTTTTATGTAATGTACTTTTTATACCAAACTTAGTAAATAAAGCTAATGACAATGATTCTACCTCTTGTTTTGTAAAACAATTAGTTGCAATTCTAACACCTGGCTTTTTCCAGGTACCGTCATCCATTATTAAAATAGCTAGAGACAGAGGAGTTAATATATCAGCTATATTTGCAGGTATTACTTTTCTCTTGTTGTGAGTATAAAATAATTTATATAGGTACAATAAACTTGTAAATCTGTACGTACCAAAACGATAATATCCTGACAAACCGTCTCCCATTTTTTGTGTATAATAAAAAGGTAAATTATTAGAACAATAACCCCTAGTATTAAGAAAATTATGTAACCAAAATATATATTCCTTACGCACTGCAGATTGTCTAAATATAAATCTTACACCTCCGCTAGACACTCGTTCAGCATGACAATCCCCTATTAATGAACCAACTAATAATGATATAATCTCATTATTATGAGGACCGATTCTCTTGTCGGCATTAAAATTAGGCAGAATAAAAGCTAAACTCGCTTTAAGTAAAAAAGATGAAGATTTTATATATATAAATTTAGGGCCAGTATATAACCACCCTGCGGTATCGTGTAAAACGATTAAATGCATTAGTGCTAAAGCAGCTAATACAAAAGGTAAAACGAAGTGTAATGAGAAGAATCTATTTAATGTTGCATTGTTAACAGAACATTTAAGTTGGTAGTCACTATGTTATATATATCTAACACTCTCACTACTCCCAACAAATCTCTTTGTTGATCGGACTATATCTTGATCTTTTATCCTCTTTACTCTATTGATTGAGGAGAGAGGAATATACGCTTAAATATATTGGGTTTATTTAATATTTAGAAGGAACAAGTTTAGAATATCGAGGTACTGTACGTAATTCTTTTAATCATAATAAATATTGTAATCTTTTATTACCTAATAATTTTACAGGTGCTTTAGCTAAAAATTTAATTACATTTTCTATAGATCTTGCACTTGTAACTTTCAATTTAGAATTATTAGTTTTATCTAAATATACAGCAGTAGTAAAAGATAAGTATTTTTTTATTGCAGAAATTATAATATCCCCATTCGTTTGACTAATATCAAAAGAAGCTATAGGATAACTATCGTTATTTTTATATGTACTAAAACAACCTTCAGCTTCTATGAATCCAACCAGCCAGGCAGAAAAATAAGATGCATTAGTAATAGTTTCAACTGTGTTCAAAGGTACAATGCTTCTAGAATAAAGTACTAAATCCTCATAGTAAATGATTCCTGAAAGTAATGCTTCCTTAAATCTTAGATAGTCATACTGCTTATTAGAAAACATAGGATATATATCAAATATAGGTAAAATAAAATTTTTTAGATGATCTTTATTTCTAATTCTTAAAGATACCATTTCAACTTCTTTCCTTTTTCGGAAACTTATAACACCTACACCCAAAAAATTTTTAATCTTATATATTAATTGTACATCTCTAATGGATAATTCAATACCCACTTCATATGTTAAATATTTTCCTTTTTTTGTGACGCTAAAAAACCCATCACCTTCAAATAAACCTACTAAATAAGCGTAGTAAAGATCCCCTGCGTGTAGTCTCTGAGAGGCTACTGAAGTATGTAAACTTCTCACCCCCACTGATTTTCTCCATGTTTTTGCAGTTTTCACGTGAATAATTGATGAAGTCGCACCCATCAAGAATAAATCGTATGCAAATCCTAAATTAGGAGAGTTTCCAGGATTGTTAAGCAGGGTTTTTAACACTATGTCACCATAGTGTGGTTCAACTGTTTTTAAACCACCTCAAATGAACTCAACAATGTCTTGTCCTACTCAAGGGATAGCACTCATAAGGTTAGTAATACAAAATTCACAATAAGATGGTTGCTTTAACTAATTTTTAATAGGTCCCCCTGCGCTATTGCGAGAGGGGGGCCAAACAGGAGAAAAAGTTGATTTAGAGTAAGCTTTTATTCTTTTTATGCGTTTAGCGACTACTAAACCTTCTTTATTTTTTATAGGTTTACCATCATTTAAACGAGCAGTTATAGTATTATTACTTACATGAAGAAATTTAGCACATGAAATTCCATTAGTAAAATAATTAAAAGAATTATTTAAAAAATAAGCTTTTATAATATAAGTAGATCTAATGTATTTTTTTTCCGAAATTATCATTGCTCTACCCTCAGAATCAATATGTATTAAAGGTTCTGCTTTAATTAAAAGATCTAATTCTGATTTAACGATATTATCCAATATGAGAGGGTTTAAGTTTGTAGATAATCTATTATTATTCATACAATCTCCCAGTTTTATTATTAACTCTTTACCTTTTTCATTTAAATGTTTACCCTCTAATATTAAAAAAGCTATTGTTTTAAAATCTGAATAATCTTTAAATTTTTTAGTTCTAAATTCAATACTGTCTAAGTAAGGAATTAATATATTATGAATAAAATCAATTTGGTAGATTTCTAAAATAGAAATAGGTCTAAAATCACTTTTTACTTTTTTATCGGAGATATTAATTAGTTTAGTCGTACTACCTAACATATAAGAGTGTTCGTCTAATAAACCTAAAATAAATTCACGTATTTTTTCTAAAACTTGTCTATTTACCGTAGTAGTCACGAGTGAAACACGAACAGTCATATCTTGTTTATTTAAGTAAAATGACCCATCTCCTTCTAAAAAACCTACCAAATAATTACCTGTAATTCTTATATTATGATTTGCAGGTAAAACAAAATTAACTCTATTAGAATTCATATTTTGTTTCAATTCAAGAATATTTGAGTATATTTGCAGTATACTTAATTCATTAGATTTACGATTTTTAAATAAGAAATATGCTTGTTTAAAATCTAAATAATCCAAGTATTTAGTAGTATTTAATGGAAATTTTTCAAACAAAGGTATTAATATTGTTTCAATATCACTTAATTGAGATATTGTAAATACTAACGTGTTTCTCTCAGTATTTAGTCTACCGCAAGCTAAAACATCTTTTATGTGTTCTAAAATTTTTCTATCGTCTAGGTGTAAAGCAATTCTAAATACAAATTCAAAACCTCCTACTTCTCCTTTTTCATTTTTTCTTGTCCTTATTAAAAAATTAGATTCCGCTTCAGAAAGGCCTATAAATCATTCTATAAAATTACTATCTATAGGTAATTTAGGTAATTCTTTATGGACACCTGTTGATAAATCATAAATCTTATCGTTTTTATTCTCATCCTGTTTCCCTTTATAGGCAAAAGGAGTATAAAAATATATTTGATAACACTCTAATAAAAAAGGTGCGATTAAAAAAGTAATACATAAAACCTTTATGATTTGCAACCCAGCATCTATAAAAAAAAAATTGGAAGATACTGATAAATTTATCTAAAGGTGGAGACGCTACTCTCCTATCGTTTACTATCGTAAACGGATCGGACTATATCTTCATCTTTTTAACTATATAATTACTTTTATAAAACTTATTTAAATGCTTTTACTTTTATTAAAAAAATGTACCACGTATAGTCTCTGAAGAACCAAAAGTTGAATTCGTTATATACAGCTGCGCTGTATTTAATATAGGTTCCTGCTGATTGTCTTTTAAGAGTTTCCAGCAATTAGTGGTATTTTACAACTGCTATTACTTTGCCTGTTTAACAGTTGCCCCTCATAACGACATCTGCCCATCACGGTTTGACTACTTTCTTGCTTAAGAGGTATGAGTATAGTCTAATCCGCAAAACCATAATCAATATAATACATATATCAGGGTACTAAGGATCTCTCTCACTACACGAGTTCGTGTAATTCATATCCGTTTACGATCACCCAGTTCAAATATTTTCTCCGATTATAGTGATATCCAGCTAATTACCTACTATATCATTCTCATATTATGCCTCAAAGTACGCAAATAGCTAGTAGTATAACGCCCCTTTTCAGTTTATTACATATCCCAGCGTCCCTGGGGGGCTATTAGAGTACACCTTATACCTAACCACTATACATAGTTATTCCTCGTATCTCATCAGTATTTATTGATACGGTGATTAGGCAAGAAACCATCTACTCGTTGCACTTTTATCTGTTCATACAGAATTTAGCTCCGGATTGCCCATTCGTCTATTAAACAATACTTCAAGATATTACCGTACCCCTAGTCATTAATAGGGCCACCAGCTGTCTATTGCTTCCATTTTGGCTTGGTTTTGAAGTCTTTAGGGTTTTCCCGATGAATTTGGCTTCTATCCCCATCAAATCCCCTTGCTAAAGGGGGCTAACAGGGTAAAACATAACCCAGGAATGCTGTGGCCATCATTAAGATAAAGATAACTGTACCAATAGTTCATACAAGAGTTCTTGGAGCTCTGTATGATCCGTAGTACATACCTCTACCTATGTGTAAGTAAACTATGAAGAAAAATGCTGAAGCTGTGTTACTGTGTAAATAACGTATTAATCACCCATTATTAACATCACGCATAATCTAAAAGGGATTAATCACTTATTAATATCTAATTCCTAGACGCACTATCTATGGGTTTAGATGAAAAAATAAAATTATTTTTATATAATCTACCTGTATCTATGTAACGATTACATGTATTACTACTAGGGTTTAATCCTAACACATACTTTACGCCACCTAAAGGGAAAAATAAAAAGACCCTTTTTATCACTAAAAGTTAAAAGAGTTAAAAATTAAGAAATTTTTTTAGTAATTACATAACGTCCTAAAAAAGGTTTATTGCTTTTTAGATAAGTTCTTATCGTTTTTTCATTACAATTTAACTTTTTAGCTGCTGAACGGGCAGAAGCATATTCAACTTTACTACCATTTTCCGTATCAAAAACTTCAATATGTAATGCACGTTTAGAATTTATTTTAAAAATATGCTCTCTTATTTTAACTAAGTGTTCTGGACTCATATTTTTTGTTCCTCTCATTTTTAACTTAGCTTCCTCAGTATGTAAATAACCTAAAGAAGAACCGGCTATACGTAAAATATTGTATTCTGGTTTTAATAAATCTAAGTAATATTGTTCCCTAACTAGCACATCATTCTTATTACAATACTCCAATATCTCAAAGCTAAAACTAGCATATCCATATTTAACCAAAGATTTACATATTATGCTATGTTTTGATTGAACAATTATGTGGGCTAAACTAAAATATCTGTAAAGACGTGCAGATAAATTGACGCTACTACCTATGTAGCTTTTACCATTTTCATTGTTTATTCAACGATATATACCTGATTTACCTTTAATTTCTTTGATAATTTGTAATTTAGATGTGTCTGCATTAGAATAGGTTACTATAGGAGTAATGGTAAGATTTATATAAATATTATTTTGCACAATCATAGAAGTGTTGGATTAGATAATTACCTACTTACGTATTGTTCTACTGTGCAGAACTGTATGAAACAAAAGGAGAACCTTTAATCATACCCTCATTTGTGTATATATATACAACTTTAGGGTTATCAGATCTATTTTGTATACTAAATTTCCTAACATTATCTGAGTGGCGTATATTAGATTTAACATCAAAGGGAGGATCTTTTTCAAAAATGATTTGAGATCTTTTAAAAATGTTATCCATAATTTCAGATATATTTTTAGTAGTATTTGTACTGTATCTTTTATTAAGAATGTCAGATATATCCAAAAACAGGGTTTTACCTTCAGGTAAATAGTAATAACCTTTTATTTTCAATAGAAGGGCTAATCTTCATAAATTAAAATCTATAGCCTTTCGCGAATACATTTTAGAGGTATCCAATAAAGGTAAAAGGTAATAATAAAGAGAATCTACACTATTTACAACTAAAGATACTACATCTGTTCTAACATTCGTTGTACTTATTACATTCAAAGGTAATATTTTACTGTTTTGTAAAACATTATTAGATAGTCCAGTTAAAAAGGTAGTTATAGCATTTAAACTTTCTTGACTTGTATTTTTTTGAGCAATTTGGAAATATAAAGCCGATCCTGTCTTAATACCAAACGTACCTTCACCTTCTAGAAATCCTATGAATCAATTAGGGTTTATTATAATTTGAGGTTTTGTAGTATTATATGTAAATATTTCTCTTTTAGTGTTCATAGTATTTTTAAGGGATACTATTTTGCTCATACCAGCATCAGATAATTGTTTATTATCTTTAATAAAGACCGCTTGAGAAAAGTTTTCAAAGTCTAATCTTTTACTAGTATGCAAAGGAAATGCATTAAATATAGGGCATATAATATTTTTAATTTCTTCGTAATTCTGTATCATATAAGAACAACGGTTTCTACTACTTTCTAATGTAACAGTACCTACATTTAAATTAGATTTAATTGTATTAAGAACTTCTACGTCATCAATGTGCAAATATATTTTAAATCTAAATCTTACATATTGACGATCTATCGAAATTAAAAAGTAGGATTGTTTATAACTAATTGAAACAAAGGAGTTAGGAAGGGACTATTCACCTAGTTTGTAATACATGCTGGGTATAAAATGGGGTTTAACTAACTTTTTTATTTTGTCTAATGAATTCCGAGAAATATATATTCTATATCCATGTTGATTACTAGCTTTATGAAGAGTACATTTAAAATCATAACGTATAATTAATACATTCATTAATCGGACTGTATCTTGAATAGTATAAGAGTCAGTACAAATATAAATACCTTTACTTTTAAATCCACCATCTCCCATGATAAGATGAGCTAGAGCAACTGGAGTTAAAAGATTATAGATATCTTCTGGTACTATTTTAACGTTATTTAGATAGAATAATGGGTGTAATTCAGTGAAACAAGGCAATCCTCGAGTAAAAAAGCCTAAATTATATAGTACTTTTCCTGACCTTTTACTTTCTGCGTAATAAGGGTAACTACTGCAATAATGAGATAATTCATTAAAAATAAATCATACATAAGATGCTTTATTTATAGTTTGTTTAAACCCTAATCGTGCATTTTTATTTGTTTTACTTGCAAAGGTTAACCAACCATCTGATAATAATAATCCTATTATAATACTCTTATTATAATTCGGTAAATTTATTATAGAGCTGACTAACTTTGTAAATTTACCTGTACCCACTTGAGACCTTAAATTTGTACCTCAAACGACTAAACTTAATTCGTTATTAGTACTTGGTTTCTTAGTACTATATTTTCTTCGGCTAGATGCATCTGTGAATCCTGAAAATCAATATAAGAACTCGCTGGATACATTTTTCAATAGGTTGTCTTCAGTACGTACATTAGATTTTTTATTGCAGTTAGTAGATAAGTGACAAAATCCCATTTTATTTTTATTACCCGATACGTAAGTAGGCAATAATATTATACCATTAAATAGGTATAATTGATTAATCTTTAGCTATTGATCTTTCAATCAATATAGGACCATATCATCATATTATAAATATGTCAACCGTATAGTCTCTGAGGATCCTACTCGTAATTTAATTACTTTGGTTTCCTGCTGATTATCCATATATATCTTAAATATTTTTATTAACTTCGTAAGCGAAGTTTAATATTTTAAGCTTTAGGAACTTCCAGCACATAGGTTGATTTAAAGAGCACATTGCGCTATGCTCAACACTATTAAATGCTTCTGCTACACTAGGGTTATAATGCATCGCTAATGTTACACCTGTAACAATTTGTATAATTAAACAAAAGGCTAATAAAGAACCAAAATTTCACATGTAACTTAGATTTAAAGGTTGTGGTGAATCTACCAAGTAAGAATTCGCTAATCTAAAAATCGGGTGACTTTTTAATAATCTCATGAATTTTTTATGCTATTTGATACTTTTTTTTAATTTAATATATTAAAGAGTTATTCTGCTCTTATCCATAAAGAATTTATCTATTATAAACCGTATATAGTTTTCTATAAAATAATTACTTTTCTTTTTTTTTTTTTTTTACGCATAAACACACATACATGCTTATCTACACGTAGTTATCCTGTTCTAGCGGCTTTCACTCCGGGTAGGCTTCATCCTTTAACTTTTAAACCAGAGGTGTAAACTTCTCGTTTTACCCTTTGGAGTTTTAAATTTATAGACTGCTCACCGTTTAGCGTGCTTCTAGATAGGGAACGGGTAAATGAATTAAAGATAAAAATGTGTAGACTGATATTTGCCTATATATGTGCTTACACGTTACTACTAATTAATAAATCTTTACTATAGATGATGAATTTAACCTTTTAAATTCATCATAGTTATGTATTAATTTTCAAATATTTCTGCAAAAAGATATAAACCTGTACATTTATACTAGCAATCCGCAGCCATCCAACTTATGGGACTTACTCATCTCAATTTTGGATAAGTGAATTTAACTCGCTAAGTATATCCCTTACATTTTCACTGTCTATGTTTTTATTAGCTATTTTATTATTAGTTAAATCACCCCTGGTAGCTAATACGTGCTTATGTTACCTATATAAAAAATCCATCCAACAGGTAATTTTGTTTATGGGTGAATCCTTATTTTTCTCTATTATAACACCATAATGTAATGAAAACCTAAAATTAAGTAAAGTACACGCATCGGTGCTTCCTACGTCGCAAAACCTCTCTCTTGTTCAACTAAACTCATAAATTAAATAATATCAAGCATAATTTATTGGCAAAGCTTAACAGTTCTTGTGGTATAAAAATAAATAATGTTACTACTAACGTTATAACTGAAATGGATAAACTTAAGGAGCTTGATATAACAATATTACTCATTTGTATACTAACTTTTTCAACGGCCGTGTTTTTTTCAGTTATTAAACCATCTGCATTAAAATCTTTCAGCTCTTTGTTTAAACTGTAGTCTGGTTTGTCGAAGAAAATTTGTTTTATGATAGCCAAGTAATATACAGCACTTATAACACTAGTTAATATAGCAACTAATGCCATAAAAATATAACCGCTATCCACTGCTGCACTTAATATCATCTGTTTACCAAAAAATCCTATTAAAGGAGGTATACCTGCAAATGAAAATAAAGTGATTCCTAAACTTAGGATTATAATAGGATTTATGTAATAATACCCTTTTAATTGATCAATTAGCTGGATAGGCGAGTTTATTGCGTCGGTGATATTAATATATTTATCTTTTTCTTCTTTAACATGTTCCTTTTTAACCATTACCTCTTTTACGATTTCTCCTTTATCCATTCCCTTATTAGTAATAGGATTAATTAGGTTAATGTTTTCTTTATTTTCAACACTAGTTATAATAACCAGTAGGAAAGGTTCACAGTTAAAGTGGTATATATCTAAGTCAATACCTACATAATACATACATAAAACAATAGTAAAAAAGTAATTAAAAAGTAAAACAGGGTATTCCTTATCCAAATAACAATTATATAATTTGGATAAAGTATTCCATTGTTTTTTTACAATAACAATTGTGTTAAATATAAGATAGATACTTAAAACTTGCGAAAGAATAGTAGGGTTCAAACTAAATAGCCGGATAGAGATTAAATAAACCACTAAAAAATTAACAATATAAAAAAAGAATTTAAAGGGTGAGAAGATATAAAAATTATAGGGAGTGAATGGTAAGATAAAAAAAGATTTATGATCGTCTGAATACTTAATTCTTTTAGGATTTTTTTCCTCATTTGAGCTATAACCATCTGTTTCGTAATAATCATCCTCACTTGAACTATTATATTTTCCCATTTTATTTTTTCAATCTACACCCATACTTGTTAATTTTCTCTCCATTAGATCTTTCTCCTCTGTAACAGACTTATGTTTATTTTTGATCTCTTCTAAAACGTATTTGCACGGTACATTTTTATCATCCAATTCCATTTTTAGCAAATTATGATCTTTTGCTAATTTTACGGCTTGATCATTTAAATATTCAAGATAAGCAAGATCCTCCTCATAATCTCTATTAGGCTGTGAATTAGATCCTTCACCTACTTTATTTGAATTCATGGACTCCCTAATGGCTTTTTGTAAATCTCGTTCATGCTGAGAATCATAATCATATTCTTGAGGTGTATCTTTCTCCGGTGAATCTTTCTCCGGTGTAATTTGTTTAGCTTTACCTTTCCCCTTCTCACTTGAAGTGAATCCTGAACATAGAATAATACCGTGTTCAAAAGAGGGTACTTTTATTACACCTAAAAAGAAAGATTTCGTTAACCCTACTATTGTTCCAATAACTAAATATAAAAGAGAGCTAAATAGTAAGCTAGTAGTTCAAGAAAAATCCATATCAAATAATGGTTTGCTTGTATAGTGTACTAACTCCAGTAAGAAGACAAAAATAGAAATTTTTGCAATAATCGCTACAAAAGTTGTAACAATCGTATGAATAGCGTCACAGACTACCGTCATACAGACATGTAATAGGGATTTCATTTTATTTAAAATGAGAGTTCCGTTATAGATCAATTTGGTAAATAACAGTCTATTTGGACTACTAAACTCTTTTAATCAAATTTTTCTGGGGTAAAATGAAGTTAATAACAATATAACACTAGTTATTATACAAATAAATACATGGAAAAAATTGGTAGTAGCTGTTGTATGGAAAAGTCCACCAAATATACCAATACCTTTTGCTAAAAACAAAATAAATAAATTGTCATAGGCTATAAAAGCTGCAATTAGTAAAACGGTAATAGTAGCTCTTGAATAGAGAATAGATTTGTCTCGTCTTGATGTAATAGCATTAGATAATAATAATAAAATTATAGATAAAAATAGCATGTTCAGAATAGAGAGGTTCGAACTCCCCAGCTTAACTAGAAAAAAGTCTCGCAGTTATTACAAATAACTTAACTAAAAAAAGTCTCGCTGTCTTCCCGCTAAAATATTCTGAGAAAGTATGGTAAGAAATACCATTTAATCTGAAGGGTTAACCTTACTATTTAACCTTACGACCCTCAGTGATATATGGACACAAATAAAAATAATCAAACAACATCTACAAAATGTAAAGTATTCCAGCTTCTAATCCTAAGTGATCATTATTGGTTGAATGATAGGCTAGTACACGCCACAGTCCTACCGCTAAAAATGTTGTACATGTACATTACATGTACGAAATTGTTACATAAGAGCTCTTTATCCCCCACCTCCCTATTTTACCCTTACATCCTTCAGGTGTTACTCACAATTAGCCAAAAAGCTTATAAGATTAACTACATCTTTTAACATTAAAATATATAATTATCTTACTAATATTTTTTACTAAGGGATATTTCTTTTTCAGCATAGCAGCCCCAGTCTTCATTTCGCTAAATCGAAATGAAGACGCGAGGGCTAATTTTTATTTTACAGTGTTTAATAGTTGGTTTAAGCAAAAGAAAATAAAAAGAACCGAAAGCTTACGGGGGGGAGGGGATGGTCCCTTCAGGGGCCAGACCTAAAGGTCAGTCCCCCTCTGGGACTAGTAAATAATGAAATAGTATGCTGCTAATAGCTAAAAGATAAGCCGGGAGAGAAATTTGAATTCCCACTATTAATGCATGAAATTAATGTTCTACCTATTGAACTATCCTGGCTGGCTGTTATATAAAATAATAATTAATATTTAAGTAATAATTATTATTTTACAAAAATGTGTATATTACAAAAAATAATAACCCTATATCTCACATTATACTATGTACTGGGAGGATACCCTGAATCGAACAGGGAACTTACTGTGCCACATACAGTTGTTCTACCTATTGAACTATATCCACCTTTTCTATGTAGGGGTGACTCGAACACCCATAAGTAAACACCAAAAATTTATGACTTACCTTTAGTCTACTACATATTTATAATTTACATATTTAGAAAAAGTAAATTTAAACATGTAAATTATATAGCATAGTATGTTAACATTGTATTTATGGGTAATAAGACTCGAACTTATATGAATTAATTTCACCCCGTCCTAAGCGGGACCTGTCTACCAATTTCAGCATACCCATTAAAAAAAAAAATTCTTATGTTATAATATACAAATATCCCTTAAGATGTACAAAAATAGCTTTATTATTTATAAACGTAAAACTAAATAATATATGAACACAGCTTAAAATATATGAACAAATATTAAATATATGATACACTTTTAAATAGCTAAACATATCTTAAATAGTATAAATTTAGCTATATATGCTCAATAAACACAAGTACAAAACATCGATATATGCCCAAGATAAGATTTGAACTTATAACCTAAACACCTTCAAAGTTTCGCTCTACCAGTTGAGCTACCTGGGCTTTTTTTTTTTTGCAAAAGTATCTTTTATGGACCTAACTATAAATTAATCCTTTGAAATTTTATTTTCAGGTCCCCTAAATATTGGATTTGTTTTGCCAATATTTGCTGGTGACTTAAGCAAAACAAATCCAATATTAACCGGGGTGGGACCAAACCCATTGGAGATATTAGGACTCGATCCTAAAATAACGATATGCAAAATCGCAGTTTTACCAATTAAACTATATCCCCTTAAGTTAATTTATACACATAACTTGTAAATAGACCCAAGCGGGGTTCGAACCCGCGCATTTAACAGTGAAAATGTTACGTCTTAACCACTTGACTATTGGGCCTTAGTAGTCCTATATAAGCATACAAACCGCAAATTATAAAAAGAAAAACTAACCTATATAACTGGTCCAATGTATATTTATTATTTAGATTGAATCTGTACAGCTTTTATTAAACAAACAAATTTATTATTAAATATGCTATGTAATCGTGTAGGTAAAAATATAATGACACTATACCTGTCGGACTTTATCTGCAACAGGTTAAAGCCCCGTAGGGTTATTATAGCAAATACATATAAAATAGGTTTTTATAACAATATTGTGCACTCTGCTGATTTTTTTTTTGCAATGTTTAGTTTTTTGATTTAAGTCCCGGCGTCTTCTTTGCTTGCAAAGAAGACTGGGACTGTAATTTTTTTTTTTTAACATAAATCATGATATATGTAAAAAAAAAATAACCGCAAAATAAAAAAAAAAATAATAAAAGGACTTGTGACCTTTCCTTATAAAAACTCACTAGTATTATGCACTATCGCCCTAAACATGTAACTGGTATTCAGCTAAAAAGGTAAAACTATAACATTATACTTTTACAACTTTCCGTTTGTATTGTTTATCCAAGTTATATTGTTAGTGTTTCACATCACACCGGTAACTGTTTTTCGAATAAGGCCAGAATGACTCGAACACTCATCTGAGCTATTATGAGCAGCTTGCTTTACCTATTAAGCTATAGCCTTAAAAAATGCGGACAGAGGATTTGCACCCCTATCGCCTGGTCATGAGCCAAGTATGTTGCTATTACACCAATCCGCATTAATAAAAAAGTATATAAATAGCCCAGTACGAGAATTGCACTCATATCTTCCGATTACAAAACGGGTGCATTACTATTATGCAAACCAGGCTAAATAAAGTATTTTTAATGATAAGTATGTTATTTAGTTTATTTTACCGTAAAAAGGGAACATAGTCATCTATTTAGTTTATTCACTCGTCTCGGTCACCTGTGACGATCCAATTTGGTACTTCCCCCCGCCTAATTAGTACTTTATACCTGAGAACATCAAAGCCCTTACAGCCAAAGCCTATGTTTCTAACTAACTGCTAATACGGTTTCATATTAGAACTAGCTATATACTAGAACTAATATATGTTAGATCCGTAGTATTCTACTACGTTTTTAAGAGTATCTTAAGGTAAGCTTCGTGCCTAGATGCATTCAGCACTTATCTTAACTAACATAGCTTTCCTGCCATGCCTATACTATATATAAATACTTGAGTATAAAAGTATTACCATCTATAGCTCAAAATAGGTATTAGATTTATAAATATCTACCTACATTACTCTCCTTATTTAGTAGATACTAATTCTCTACTTATTAAGGAAAACCTATTCTCACCGCAATTTATAAGGTTAATATTAAGCGTATAAACAACAGGTAAACCATAGGTTACCATACCCAACTCCTTTCGTACGAAGGGGCTATCCTTATTTTACTCCCATTTCCTCTAGAAGATAGAAACCATACTGTCTCACGACGTATTTAACCCAGCTCGTGTAGCTCTTTAATCGACGAACAGTCGTACCCTTCATGATTCCTGCATTCATGTGGATGAGCTAAGCCGACATCGCTTACTAGCTCCATCCTA